CCCTAAACCCCTAAACCCTGACCCCTGAACCCTGAACCCTGAACCCTAAGCCCTGAACCCTAAACCCCTAAAGCCTGGACCCCTGAACCCTGAACCCTAAGCCCTGAACCCCAAACCTTCGGGCCCCTAAACCCTGGACCCTAAACCTTCGGGCCCAGGGTTCAAGGATCCCAGCCTTCCATCCGAGCTTGTCTGGAAGGCCACGTGGCTTCGTGGTATCGGGAGGGCCTGGCCGGAATTGAGGGCCTCTCCTGCATTGAGCAGAGGCCGGCGGTTGCAGGTTTGGGGCTGCCTGGTGTCTTTGCTGTTCCGAATATGGGAGTTTCCGAAAATTAGGGCACCTTATTCTGGGGTCCTTCTAATAAGGATCCTACCATTTTAGGGTACTATAGTAGGCTCCCCTATTTTAGGAAACCCCCCATATGATCATTGTCTAGTATGCCAGTAAAACTACCCTGTATTCAGCATAGGTTTGGGGGCTGGTACACCCCAAACCTCCCAAGCCCTTAAGGCCCGAAAGCCCTAAACCCCATACCGTATACCCCATACCCCATACCCCAGACCCCATGCATAGTCTATAAGCCCTCGCAAGGAAGCTGTAGGTTTCGAAAGCAGAGGCTTCACACCATCCATCATAAACCCAAGACACCTAAGCCTGAGCCGTAATAGAGAGGTTTGTATAACTAGCAAGGCTATTCCTTTCTCTCTATCGTCCCTTTCTTAGTTTTCTACAGCGTACCCTAAAACTCCTTACCATCAAACCTTAGCCCCGGAGGCAAGTGGTTTAGGGTTTAGGGTTTAGGGTTTAGGGTTTAGGGTTTAGGGTTCCATACCATAAACCCTTAACGATCGAGCCCCGGAGGCAAGTCGATGCCCCCTGGGTCTTCGGTGTGGAGACGCGGGATCGGAAGAACCGGGATGCCCTCCGCGACCACCTTGCAGCCCACGGCATTGAGACCAGGAGAAAGCCCTAAACTCTATACCCTAAACCCTAAACCCTAAACCCTAAACTCTACTTTCAAAAATCTACCCTGCAGAGTTCCCTGTCGGGTTCAGGATCTCCAGTTTGCCGGGTCATCGGAGAAGGGTTTGTTGGAGAAAGCATTGAAAGCGTTCACCTTTGACCGGTTCAGGCTTTGAGGCTTAGTGCTTGTAGGTTAGGCGATTTCTGCACAATGCTTATGTCCGGATGCCTCGGAAGACCCCTAAACCCTAAACCTTAAACCCTACACCCTAAACCCTAAACCTTAAACCCTAAACCCTAAACCCTGAACCCTAAACCCTAAATCTTCATCTTTGCTGCCGCAACTCTGGCACCATGAAGCAGCCCACTCTACTACACAAAGACATAAACCATGAAGCCCCCGTTTTTGCACCCGAAGCCCTAAAACCCCAAAGCCTAAACCCTTTAGGCCCTAAACCCTAAACCCTAAAACCTAAAGCCCTTTAAACCCCAAAGCCTAAGCCTTAAACCTTAAACCCTAAACCCGGCAGGAATTATTTCTACCCCCTCCACCTGGAGCCCGTGAACTTCTATGGGGACGACGTGGGGATTTATGACGTGGAGCTGCCGCACTCCGAGCACTTGGCTCAGGCCTTGCCAGTCCCGGTCAGAGAGGGAGTTGAGGGTTTAGGGTTTAGGGTTGAGGGTGAGGGTTTAGGGTTTAGGGTTAAGGGTTGAGGGTTTGGGGTTGAGGTTTAGGGTTTAGGGTTAAAGTTTCGGGTTTAGGGTTCGGCTTTAGGGTTTCAAGTTTCGAGTTTCGGGTTTGGGGTTGAAAGTTGAGTCTAGGGATACTGGCCTGCGCTTGTCTGCATGAGCGATAAAGGCTTTCGTTGGAGTTCTATTGTACTAGGTTACATCGGGTCTGAAGTGGATGTGGTTAGGGATTGGACCTTGGGGTAGGGAGGTCGTCAGTGAGGTCACAAGTACGTTGTAAAACGGGGGTTACCTGGCTTACACTGCTAGCAGTGCCCAGAACTCCCTTACTTACGGATCCTTTTCTTCAGGATACTACTACTTAGCTTTCTTGGAATGCCATTGTCTGGAACTTGCATAAGCGGTTGTAATATGGAAGCCTGAATAATTGGACGTTTTGGGGTTCTAGACTACAAGTTTATTTTGGGGCCCTGCAGAGTAAATGTCGCTCAGCAAGCGAGGGAATGATGTTGCATGTTATTCAGGCTCCTTTGTTAAACACTCAAAGAGCGAACCCTCTCTAGGTGGGCTTCTACCTGCCTACGCACTCCTTCTTGGAGCGGGTGGACACGCAGTACATTTGAAGCTCGGACGGCCAGAAGTAGGGCTCTTCCGCAAGTGCGGCTTATGGTCGCAGAGGGAACTCCCCGTATGATTCTTGCAGTTCTTCAGCCCTAAACCCTAAACCTCTTCTGGGTGAGCCTCGGCCCCTCGTCTCAGAGCGCTTACGGGGGCCCGCACCATTACTAGGAGTCGTACTCGTGGGGTTTTAGGATTTGGGGCTGACCGTTTCTGGGTAACTCCTGCATATCAGTCTTGTTTTACGAGCCTCGCTGCTCTAGTCCCACAAGCCGCTTCAGCCCCTAAACCCTAAACCCTAAACCCTGAACCCCTCTCTTGCTTCAGACTGTGAGGCTCTGTGATCAAGGCCTACTTCCAGCCGGACTCTGTGGTCGGCGAAGCTCCTCGGAACAAGGGCTGGGCCGACAAGGAGAGAAGCAAGATTTTGCAAGCCAGCTGAGCGAGCGTGCGCGGAGAAAAATGCTTCTAGCTGCTCGCTTGATATTTTCCTTTTAGTCTACAAATTCATCAGGTTTATTTGACTCATTAAGTAGTTAATCCATTAATTGATCAGTTTATGACATTTTTTGTGTTTATTCAGAGGAATGAATGAATAAATAAATAAATACATATATATATATATATACACACATGTACATGTACACACATCAACTTTGAATTTGTAACTTTAGAGCATTTAGTAAGTAACCCTAAACCCCAAACCCAAAACCCTAAACCCCAAACCCTAAACCCCAAACCCTAAATCCTAAGCCCTGAACCCTAAACCCCAAACCCTAAACCCCACACCCTAAACCCCAAACCCCAAACCCAAAACCCTAAACCCAAAACCCAAAACCCTGCACCCTAGAACACCCTAAACCCTTAACTAACCTTATGCCCAGCCAAAAACCTGAGGCGCCCCCGCCCTCCTGAAAGGCAGCCACGCTATGCTCGGCGTTGTCCACGCGGCTGGATAAACAGGCAGGCTTTAGGCTTCAGGGTTTGGGGTTTAGGGTTGAAGGTTTAGGGTTTGGGGTTTAGGCTTTAGGGCTTATTGGGGTTTGGGCTGCAGACTTTAGGCTTCAGGGTTTGGGGTTTGGGGTTTAAGGTTTGGGGTTTGAGGTTTAGGGTTTGGGGTTTAGGCTTCAGGGGTTTGGCTTTAGAGTTTGGGGTTTATGGTTTTGGGTTTAGGCTTTCGGGTTTAGGGTTTTGGGTTTGGGGTTTGGGGTTTAGGCTCTAGGGACTCTAGGGTTTATGGTTTGGGGTTTGGGGTTTAGGGTTTGGGGTTTAGGGTTCAGGGTTTGGGGTTTAGGGTTTAGGTTCTGGGGAGATGTTATTGGATTTCTGATCCAAAGCCTTCAAATGGGCGAACCGAAACCCCCAAAGGCCCACAATCCCAAAACTCCAAAACGTCACAACATCACACCCAGAAACTTCTCAACCCCCGCAAAAAAAAACCCAAAAGCCCCTCAAAACTTCTCAAACCCTCCAAAAACCCAAAGGCCCCTCAAAACCCTAAACCCTCAAGGTTTAGGGCTTAAGGGTTTAGGAGAGAAGATCTGGGGCGTAGGATTCGTGACTTGGAGATTGCTGTCTTGGATTTATCTGGGAGTTTCCAAAAATAAGGCGTACCTTCTTTGGGGTCCTTATAATAAGGATCCTACTATTTAGGGTACTATATTAGGGTCCCCTATTTTCGGAAACTCCCATCTTTAGGCTCTCAGGATTGGGGGTCTCAAGGGTAATATCAGAGCAAGGCCGT